GTTTTTGATTGCCTGACATCAATCGAACAGTGACAGTTCAACAACATGCCAAGATTAACAGAAGTGCAAAGAAACAATGTCACAGGCCGCTTGGAGACAGGGGAATCCCGATCAGCAGTAGTCCGGGTTTTCAATGTAGCGCCCAGCGAACATCACAAGGCTGTGGGATCGGTTTCAACAGCATGGGTCAACATGTGATCGGTCAAGGTCGGGACGACCAGGAGTAACCACCCCCGCCAACGATCGCTACATCCGACTGCGCCTACTACGTGAAAGGGCGACCACAGCCAACTTAACCGCATCCCAAATACCCGGACTGTGCACAATCTATGACCAGACCATACGAAAGCGTTTAAGGGCAGCAGGTCTACGTTCGAGACGTCTTGTTCGACGCGTCATATATATAGTGAAGCTACAACAAAGTCAACAACGACTGCATTGGTGTCGTCAACACAGGGTACGGCTTCGACTGGGATGGAGAGACGTCAAGATGCAGACGTCTACAGACGTTGGGTAGAACTGCTTACAGGAAGAGGACAGGTTTGGTGGGGGTAGCGTTATGATGTTGGCGGATATATCTCATCTTGGACAGGTTTGGTCCCAATCCAGGGCAATCTTACAGCTCAACGATACATCAACGAAATTCTCCGATCACACGTCCTTCCAATTGCACCCAGCGCCTACGGTGTATTCCAGCAGGACAACGCTCCACCGCATACAACACGGATCTCAAGAGCCTGTCTTCACGGCAACAACGTTGATGTTCTCCCCTGCCCCTCCAGATCCCCGGATGTGAACCTGATAGAGCACCTGTGGGATGAATTGGAAAGACGGCTACGCCGACGTCAACCACAACCCCAGACGTTGCAGCAGTTGGCCGAGTGGACTACCATTCCCCAGGATGTGATTCGCATACTCGTTTTTTTATGTGGTGACGTAGTGAGTCAGGAAGTAACAAAATTTTACAGGACTGTAAATTGTCGCTCAGTATGCTTTCATAAGCATTATCAATATAGTCCATCTTACTATCTTATTCATGACAATCACTTGTAACCTCATGTTACAATATGTGTACACATTGCGATCAACTAATTCTCACATTACAGTAATATTACACAATGTGATCAACCAATTCTCACAGTAATATTACACAATGTGATCAACCAATTCTCACATTACAGTAATATTACACAATGTGATCAACCAATTCTCACAGAAATATTACACAATGTGATCAACCAATTCTAACATTACAGTAATATTACACAATGTGATCAACCAATTCTCACATTACAAGATGTGTACACAATGTGATCAACCAGTTCTCACATTACAGTAATATTACACAATGTGATCAACCAATTCTCACATTACAGTAATATTACGCAATGTGATCAACCAATTCTCACATTACAAGATGTGTACACAATGTGATCAACCAATTCTCACAGTAATATTACACAATGTGATCAACCAATTCTCACAGTAATATTACACAATGTGATCAACCAATTCTCACATTACAAGATGTGTACACAATGTGATCAACCAATTCTCACATTACAAGACGTGTACACAATGTGATCAACCAATTCTCACATTACAAGACGTGTACACAATGTGATCAACGAATTCTCACATTACAGTAATATTACATAATGTGATCAACCAATTCTCACAGTAATATTACACAATGTGATCAACCAATTTTCACATTACAAGATGTGGACACAATGTGATCAACCAATTCTCACAGTAATATTACACAATGTGATCAACCAATTCTCACATTACAAGATGTGGACACAATGTGATCAACCAGTTCTCACATTACAAGATGTGTACACAATGTGATAAACCAATTCTCACATTAAAGTAATATTACACATTGTGATCAACCAATTATCATATCATTATAGTCGGAGGGCACGGGTGGCCCAGTCGTCTTAAGCGCAGCAATTTCCTGTGCAGAGTTATGTTCCGAAGGCGTATCAGAACGCATGGGAATCCTAGGTTTGCCTATTAAATTATTCTGGGTTTGTCATCACCATATTCGTTTTCGTGGGTTCCTACCTACATTGTACACGACTTCGGGCTTTCTTCAACAACAAGGCACGGCGTGATATAACGCCCAAAGACTTATACAGTCGCCATTGACGTCAGTAGATCCCCGCGTGGTCCCGGAAATGATAGGTCCCCCAGCACTCTCTATTTTGTCTTAACAGCTGAATTACCAGGGATGGAAGGGGTAGCCTTGATACAAATGATGTTAAGTGCATTGCATGTTTTAAGTACAAAACTGTCCATGCGTACTGGGTACATTAAAAGAAAATACACAACACGGCAGCATATTGCTGCAGGAATAAAAGAGATCAAAACAGAGAATAAATTAGACTTGGTATTCTCTATTGATGAAAATGAACAAAAGTGGCTACCGGCATCAATTATCTCCAGCTGGTAAAAGCCAGTCATGCCAATATGGTGTTGACTTCCGATGACCTTCCTTTGGCACTGCTCGGAGGTGAGCAGCAGTGTTCAAAGGGGGTGCAGAGAGCCTCGAGGATGATCAACGACGAGGAAGACCTCTTACGGCCACCACAATGGAAAATGTTGATAAAATACATGATACCTTTGTGGATGATTGACTAATCACCACACGTTACAATACCTTAGGCATCACTCATGAGAGAGTTGGGAACATTATAAGGAACGAACTGGGCAAGACAATGATTTCAGCGTGCAGGGTGCTGAGGATTCTTATTCTTGGTTAGTTGGTTTGTTGTTTTACGCCGCAACTCTTGGTTGGAAAAGTTTCAAATTCATCATCTCTCGTAAGAATGTACGTCGTTTTGAAGCAGACGCTACTGATTCATTTGTTTGTGTGTTGTTTTACGCCGTACCTAGCGATATTCCAGCTATATGACGGGGGTCTGTAAATAATCATCTGGACCAGGCAATCCAGTGATTGACATCACGAGCATCGATCCACGCAATTGGGATCGATGACATGTATCAGCCTGACCACCTTATCCCGTTAGTCGCCTCTTACGACAAGCATAGTCGCCTTTTATGGCAAGCATGGGTTGCTGAAAACCTACTCTACCCCGGATCTTCACGGGTCGTTACTGTTCAGCGATTTGTAACCGTGGATAGGTTCACCACTATCAGCCAGAAACGAAACAACACTCAAAGCAGTGAAAACATCTGACGTCACCCCCTCCTAAGAAGTCAAAGTCTGTTCCATCAGCTGGGAAGGTGATGACTTCTGCTATCTGGTATTCCATAGGAGTCGTAGTGGTAACCTACTTCGCGAAAGGTCATCCATTAATGGCCAGTTTTATGCTAAGTGAGAATATATCTTGGCTACACGTCGTGGAAAACCCACACGAAAGGTGTGTTGTTCCTACCAGGACAATGTACCTGTGCACATCTCTGTTGGTGCTAGATTTGGCACCGTCATATTTCAATCATTTTCCAACCTTGAAGAAAGAAGCGTCTCACAAGCATTATGGGGAACTTTTAGAGGAAGATTTCTACACCGGTGGGATCCAGGCATCGTTGACAGAAGCGTGTGGACCTCGTAGGGGATTATGTTAGCATCCAACTCCATCAATGCAGTCCATCACAGTAAGGCTCAGAAATTTTAGCTACAATTGACACTTGATCGGGTGGTCAGTGACTTGGTTGATCGTTTCCCGACGGTGTTGTTCTTGATATCAAACACAGGTCGGCAGTGGATTAGCCTAGTGGCTAAAGTGTTCGCTCGTCACCCTGAACGCCCGGTTTCAATTTTACATGAAACAATATTTTAATTTCAGGCGGCGTAAATCACAATTACTCACTCAAACACATGTAGTGAAATAGCTGGTCTATAGCTGGCTATACTTCTCAATTTTATTAATGTGTGTACTTATATGTATAATGCGCTAACCCCCATACACTCGTTGCATTTTCAAATCATCGCTAACATTACTACCCAAGTGGACCCGTGAAGAGCCGTGGTAGAATAAAAGCTCTTCAGCAACCCATGCTTGCCGTAAAAGGCGACTATGCTTGTCATAAGAGGCGAATAATGGGATCGGGTGATAAGCTTCGCTGACATGGTTGATGCATGTAATCGACCCTAATTGTGTGGATCGATGCTCATGATATCAATCACTGGATTGTCTGGTCCGGACTCGATTATTTACAGACCGCCTTATATATTGCTTAGTGCGGCGTTTAACAACAAACCAAACCAATGGATCAGTACACTAGATTTTCATTCTTAGAGCCCTGGCGAGTATATAATTGAACAATTCTATGATAGAGAGTGGTTTGTATCTCACGAAGTAACAAAATCTTTCCGTGATTATAGATAGCCAAGAGCTCCATTTAGTTAGACGTCGCTTCCCAGCAGACCAGTAAAATATTCATTACCCCCGCCGCTCTAAAATTGGCCTTGTGATAAAGATTTACATTATTGAGGTGTATTGACCCTTGACTGGGACTTGAGCTGTACAGTGACCCTTAAGTTCGCAACAACGGCGAAGACTTCACAAACGTGGACTAAATCAATAAAGAAAGTCTGAGAGTGTGAACCAATCTTTCAACGTCCAATTAAAGACATAGAATATAATTTAAGGCCAATATTTGGACAGCCTACTTCGTTAAAAGGAACACCTCGTGAACACTTTCTGCAGGTCTAATGGTAAAGTTGGGACTCAGAGATAGTGTGCATGGTTCAGGGCGAGGAGAGGGATCGGTTATTTTGTTGATTAAACAGTCTGTTGGGATTCCAGGAAAACAGGTCAACAGTACCCAATGTCAGTCGTAAAATCCGAGGATCGGGTAGTTACAAATGTGATCTGGATGACTGTAAAATCGTGCCTAAACGGCGTGCATCGTTGCTCATGCTCTCCGCCACTGGTTTGCGTGACCTAGATTAGATTATTCACAGACCCCTGATCCTAAATGCCTTCCAACTGTGTTGACACCATCTGGCCCAGAATACCTCCCAAATGTTGAGACATCATCTGATCTGCAGTCTCCCCCCGCCACTCCCCACCCCAACCCCAACTGTGGTAACTGATTCCTAGTACCGTCCTACTGTGGAGACACCATCCGGTCCAAAATACGTTCCTCCTGTGGAGACCAGCTGATCCCCAGGACCTCCCTTCTGTGGAGACCCGTGAAGATCCGGGGTAGAATAGGTCTTCAACAACATATGCTTCCCGTAAAAGGTGACTATGCTTGTCGTAAAAGGCGACTAATTGTGTGGATCACAATAATAATGAATAATAATGTGTGTACTTACATGTATAATGCGCTCACCTCCATACACTCGTTGCATTTTGAAATCGCTAACATTACAACCCCAGTCAATGGATCAGTGGACCCGTGACTATCCGGGGTAGAACCCAGCAACCCATGCGTGCCGTAAAAGGCGACTGCTTGTCATAAGAGGCGAATAACGGGATCGGGTGGTCAGGCTCGCTGACTTGGTTGATGCATGTCATCGACCCCAATTGCGTGGATCGATGCTCATGATGTCAATCAGTGGATTGTCTGGTCAAGACTCGATTATTTACAGACCGCCGTCATAAAGCCGGAATATTTATGAGTGCGGCGTTAAACAACAAACCAACCAACGAACCCTTCTGTGGACACACCATCTGATTCCCAGTACCTCCCTACTGTGGTGTCACCATCTGATCCACAATACCTCCCTACTGTGGTGACACCATCTGATTCACAATACCTCCCTACTGTGGTGACACCATCTGATTCCCAGTACCTCCCCACTCTGGTGACACCATCTGATTCCCAGTATCTCCAGACTGTGGTGACACCATCTGATTCCCAGTACCTCCCTACTGTGGTGACACCATCTGATTCACAAAACCTCCCTACTGAGGTGACACCATCTGATTCCAAGTACCTCCCCACCCTGGTGACACCATCTGATTCCCATTACCTCCCCACTGTGGTGACACCATCTGATTCCCAGTACCTTTCCACTGTGGTGACACCATCTGATCCCCAGTACCTCCCCACTGTGGTGACACCATCTGATTCCCATTACCTCCCTACTGTGGTGACACCATCTGATTCCCAGTACCTCCCCACTGTGGTGACACCATCTGAATCCCAGTACCTCCCTACTGTGGTGACATCATCTTATCCCCAGTACCTCCCCACTGTGGTGACAACATCTGAATCCCAGTACCTCCCTACTGTGGTGACACCATCTGATTCCCAGTACCTCCCTTCTGTGGTGACACCATCTGATTCCCAGGACCTCCCCACTGTGGTGACACCATCTGATTCCCATTACCTCCCTACTGTGGTGACACTATCTGATTCCCAGGACCTCCCTACTGTGATGACACCATCTGATTCCCAGTACCTCCCTACTGTCGTGACACCATCTGATTCCCAGTACCTCCCTACTGTCGTGACACTATCTGATTCCCAGTACCTCCCTACTGTGGTGACACCATCTGATTCCCAGTACCTCCCTACTGTCGTGACACTATCTGAATCCCAGTACCTCCCTACTGTGATGACACCATCTGATTCCCAGTACCTCCCTACTTTGGTGACGCCATCTGATTCCCAGTACCTCCCTACTGTGATGACACAATCTGATTCCGAGTACCTCCCTACTGTGGTGACACCATCTGATTCCCAGTACCTCCCTACTGTCGTGACACTATCTGAATCCCAGTACCTCCCTACTGTGATGACACCATCTGATTCCCAGTACCTCCCTACTGTGATGACACAATCTGATTCCGAGTACCACCCTACTGTGATGACACAATCTGATTCCGAGTACCTCCCTACTGTGGTGACACCATCTGATTCCCAGTACCTCCCTACTGTCGTGACACTATCTGATTCCCTATATCTCCCCACTGTGGTGACACCATTTTATTCCCAGTACCTCCCTACTGTGGTGATACCATCTGATTCCCATTACCTCCCTACAGTGGTGACACCATCAGATTCCCATTACCTCCCTACAGTGGTGACACCATCTGATTCCCATTACCTCCCTACTGTGGTGACACCATCTGATTCCCAGTACCTCCCTACAGTGGTGACACCATCTGATTCCCATTACCTCCCTACAGTGGTGACACCATCAGATTCCCATTACCTCCCTACAGTGGTGACACCATCTGATTCCCATTACCTCCCTACTGTGGTGACACCATCAGATTCCCATTACCTCCCTACAGTGGTGACACCATCAGATTCCCATTACCTCCCTACTGTGGTGACACCATCAGATTCCCATTACCTCCCTACTGTGGTGACACTATCTGATTCCCATTACCTCCCTACTGTGGGGACACCATCTGATTCTCTGTACCCCTCTACGGTGGTATACAACAGGTGATCCCAAGTATTAAACTAGTGTTAGTGCCCCCAACAACCATTGTGCAGCTCTAATATCAATCAAGGATTGTAAATAGCTACATAACACGTACACAATGTTTATAGCGTAAAAGGTTTGGCATATTTCCTTGGAACTTGGCAGTAATCAAAGTATTGAGTCGATCTATTCCCCCTTCGTAGCATTCAAGGAAACGTTTACAAGCAAAGATGGGGGAAAAACTATTGATTTCAATCTTAACATGTTTTAATCCCTCAATTTCCAAGCGTGTCGCGAGTAGTATTTTCATACAAGCAATCCGCACCGCATTCATGGCAACCAGCGAGAGAAAAATTAGGAATCATTTTTGCCAGCGTAGTAATTTCCTGTTGGACAGTTCAAGACCAACTTTATTAATTTAGATTTGGGCGAGTGCTGTAATAGCATTCTTTCAGGAGTCAATTTGGTGTTCGGCACACATTTCACACTTTTGTCTTCAGGGCGAACGAAGAAACCTGGAAAAAAGTCTATTCTTTTTAGAGTTGATTGTTCCCAAATTTTATTCCGTTTAAAAGAATGATCACATATTGGTTTTTCCATTTCATGTCACTTTAAAACTCCTTCCTTTTTGTCACTTGATCCAATTTCATCAGTTAATGAGACCTAAACCGAATCTGGATTTCCACATCTTCATCACTGAGAGCGCTATTGTGACGCGAGTCCGTTAATTATGACAGTTTTAAGGCATTCAGAGTATCTCTTCTGTTGCTGAAATGAGCCAGAAGTGGTTTTCTATCCGAACCCTTTTCGTCGTGTTCGATAAAAGAGTTTAATGTCACTTGCGTTTCGGAAGCCTTTTCGTTTTTCTAATCATATTATCGCAGTTGTAGTTCCCATGGCCCCCTTCATCAGCAATAGTGAAATACATATCTCATCTCCATCATTGTGATCGTCATCCACACTGGCCAGTATGACACCAGTTGCCAGCGCCGTCATGCGTATATACAATGAGACTGCAGTGAGTTAAATTTAACGTCGCATCGGCATTATTTCAGTCATATGGCGACGCGTACATCACCATTAGGACGTTGACATACAGGCGAAAGAGGCTGTGTCGTATCTACCACTGCCTATGGATACAGCTGACAATAGACTTGTCACACTTCGGGAACACCATTGCAGCAGTAACAGCATCATCATCTGGAGTAATTATGACGTATTAAGTTTTGTTCCTTAACTATTGTGGGCGATGAAAGATATTTCTATGGAAATGAGGTAGAAAAGCATTACGTTTTCATTTCAGCAGATTCCATCAGGCCTGATCAAACATGAAGAGCACAAAAGACACTTTCATTCCAATGAAAGCTTGAAGTTTCTGCTGTAATAACATTACATTTCACGGCGTTGAGGACACGGCGACAAAAATCACAAAATATTTCCTTTAACAGCCATTAGAATTTCAAACACGGTCCCTGATTTCAGAGTAGTACCAATAACAGAATTGAAACCTTGAAAACCTTGCAAAGAGGTATTCAGGATAACTTAACTACCCCATTTATTACAATCTTATATTGATCAGCGCATGGGACTCGCTGAAAGTTGAGATGATGTGTGTTTCACCAATACAATCATCATTTAACACGTCCTTGCTCCAAAGTCAACATTCTGCCTCAGTGAGTCGTCCATTGATTCCGTTCCGTCGGTGGCCATTCTGTGATCAGGGCACACTAATTTGTATTTAATCAGAGGTCCCGTTATATGTGACTGAGGATTTTTAAGCAAGCTTCCTGGTGAACAGCAGCTACACATTCAAATAGATAAACGCAGTGAGACAGGACCGAAAATCTGAGGAGGATTTTGAACCACGAATATACTTGAATATATCATTGATCACAGAATTGTTACCCCTCACTCAAGTGTTTATATGTCGCCGTCGTATGGCAGGAGTATTGCCGGGGGCGGCTTTAGCCAACACACTTCTTTTTGTGAAAATTGTGTGAGTAGCAGGTGCTATCGGTAGAGCAGACCACGCTAACCCTTTTCTCGAATACCTGATTTCATGAAAGTTTCATTTAACTTGTGTGACTATTTTGCCTTTTACTACCCAATGAATCTGTTAATTAATCGAGATTGGATTGTTATCTGGTGCTGATGCTTTGAATATGCAATATGGTAAGGAAGATACGAGATATATATAAAGAATGTAAAACAGTACAAAAGTGTAACAGACAAAATTGTGGTACTTGCCCTCATGTTTTACAATGTTGTTCTTTTACATTCAAAGACTTTATATGTCCGTGAAAGTATGAATTGCGCGTAGCGGATTCTTAAAAAACTTATAATTAAATTCGACAACGTAAAATATGTTTTATCTTCAATAGTGTAACCCAAAACAGATGTATATATGAAAACAGACACAAATGACGAGATTGATAAACATTCCAGGTATAGGAATACATACTGTGGCGTGACATGAATCACGTGATCGTTAAATTTATGGACATAACTTGACACGCCTACACAGTCAGTAGCCAATCAACGGAGAGTAGGATCCAAACAATGATGAAGTTATTTGTCATTTAGAACCTTTAATATCATGAATACCGTCATACCTTACGCTTTACAAAAAATGGACAGCTTACATCCATCTGGATTCATTTCAGCTGAATGAAATGAGGGCATCGTCTTTGTAAAGCCAATTTGTGTACAAAGTCCTTAATTTGATTTTGTTTGATGTTGAGCAGTAATCTAAGAACACGACAAACCTGTTTATTGCAAAGATCATGATGTCTTCGTTGCATGTACAATGTCATTAGTTGTGGAGTTATCTCTGTGTCACTTATCCAAAGAAACAGGGTTCAATCTTCGGCTGATTGTTGGGTATTGATTGTATTGCAACTTTTGATATCCTCATTTAGGCATGAGTGTCGTTGATGTAATCATGATCAGCCTGGCATTGGAGAACCTCCTCACACGTCACGGAAAGACCAAAGTTAGGAGGTCGATGGATATGAAGAATGATGCATTCCTGCAGGATCAAAGGAATTTATCACGTCTCTGTGTGTCTATTATGGATAATCCATTGCTGCCAAAATGGATTTCTTGGATGCCACGACTGGATATGGGACGCCTCAGTCCAATTGTCATGACTAAGCAAGGAACTGTCGATTATGATGCACATGTTATTCTCTTTGTCTCTTGGACCAATTATGATGTAAAATATTCTTTTGAGTAGGGGATCAAGGCGTTGAGCGTACGACGAGAATTTTGCACGATGATGCATGACAGGGACAATGCATAGATCAAGGATGGCTCCACGTACCAGAATAGTAATGTGATGTTACTTCCAAAGAAACACGTACTCGTATTTCATTTAATATTCCTATTACACATCTATCAACCTGAATCATCTTAATCACATAACATTTAGATATTCAGCTGTCTGGCAATAGAAAGTATACATTTAAAAACTTGGATTTGGCTAAACAACTACAAACGTAAACTTATCAAAACGTAACTTGGCTCAAATTGGTCTCCGAAACACTCCAAGCTGATGGTCCAAAACACACAATCATGACACGCATGCAGAAACTGTGTCAGTGGTTCACTAAAACTCCTCGCCAGGGAATGTTTGTTTGAGTTCCAGCCATCATCGAACACGTCCAAGTTGATGACTATATAGGATTGCACACAGCTTCAATATTTACTATTCTGATGCATCCTTGTACTGTGAGTGGTCTTGTTTAGTGAAAGCCACTTCACATGCGATTCCTATCCATCATTACCCAATATGATCAAATATGCATTAACCCCAACACTATGTCTGTGTGTCCTCTCCAAGATCAAATTTCTCAAAAAGTTCGGAAATTAATGCGTGATGTCTACCGATTTGTTTTTGTACCTTCAAATAAAACATCCAACAAATCAAATGCTTTCAAGAACCAACAACATACACGCAAAAGATTAGTTGAAAATGGATGCGAATCTAACATCCCGGAGTTCGATATGAGTAAAAAAAAATCAAAACGTCGTTGGTAGGTGGAGTATCGACAGTACGTGTCACGTTGGAGTGACTCGTGCTGATGCAGACTGAGAATGCAAAGCCAAGCAATTTCCTCTCACAGACAGCTCTCCCGTCTTTCCGGTAATGAAAAATTTGTTCGACTATCTGTCATGATTCTGCATTTTGATTACTTAAGTTTTCGAATTTTCTGGTTCTTCCGAACTTTCCTAATTGTTACGGAAGTGGGTATTCAGACAATATGATTAAACGTCACATTTGCTAAAGACGACTTAGTTGTGTCTACGTCTCAGTATTTTAAATGTGTCATCTTCTCCCTATTCGTTCTGTTTTTTCTCACTGTACAGGTATTTGTATAACAACAATAACGTACCAGCTAAAGGTCTAATAAAGGCAACAAAATTAAACAGTTACACATCAAAATAAAAAAAATAACGCAGGAGGAAAATAAGGCATGACATATTGTTTGGTTTATTGATTTTTCAAATGAAACATTAGGTCGGAAAGTGGACTTTGTTTAATATGCATTGTTTTATATTATTTAATCATCTTAAAGTTTTATTTGGATCGGTGGGTGATAAACATATTTTTGTCTGGTTTGGAAACATGTAAATATTATAATCCAAAATTTGTAACGGCGATTTATCTTGAGAAACAATTCAGTTTTATCGATAAATAAATCCCTTGTATTATCTGTATTGTCAAAGCGATATTTACCGTTGGCGGCATGTGAACACCTTGACGTTCTGATTGTACGTGTATGTTCTCCTGAATTTTCGAATTTTAAGGTTGTTGTTGTTTGTTGTTTAACGCCGCACTCGGCCATATTCTAGCTCAATGACGGCGGTCTGGACCAAATAATCCAGTGATTGACATCATGAGCATCGATCCACGCAATTGGAATCGTTGACATGCTTCAACCAAGTCAGCGAGCCTGACCACCCAATCCCGTTATTCGCCTCTTACGACAAACATAGTCTCCTTTTACGGCAAGCATGGGTTA